CCCCCCCCCGACTCTCTCTAAAAATTAATGGAAAAAATATCCTCGGGTAAGGAGGGAGGGAAGGAGGGGGAAGGAAGAATGCCAGTGGTATAAATATTTACAACAAAGCATCCAAATTAAGAAGAAAACCTCCCTAATAGAAAAAAGGCAAAAGGCACAAGCAGCAAATTACCCCTGCCCCCGACTCCCAGTAATACAAATGACGAGTGAAACTCTGGGGATAAAAACCACCATCTCAAATGAGATACATCTTCATATGTAAAATTAAAAAGTTTAAACCAGCAAATGAGGGGATGTACATCCTTAATCCTGCATCAGAAGTGAAACGGCATTTCTTTCGGTAGGCAGAGGCGGCATGACTCAAGTCTCAGAATGCGCTGCATCCGGTCTGACCAGCACAAAGGCTCACTCGGTGTTTACAGCAGTGTAAACCGCAAGCGGCGCCCACACCGACCCAGCAACAAGCGGTGGCCTGGGACTATGGAACATGCTTATAAGGGCCGACTACAAATACTCAGCACACTGCCATTCTCCACAGCTCTGAAGACATCCACAACACAGTAAGTGAAAATACGCCAAATGGAAGCTTCACGAAGGCAGGAACTTTATGTTTTCTTAATAGCTACATACCCAGCATCTAGAATCATATACGATCAGATAGTATATACAGGGTAGGGCAAAAGTAGGTTTATAGTTGATCCTATGGAAAATAATACAATAATTAATAAATAATAATACAAGAATAAACTGTTTTGCGTACTCACAGTTGCAAACCTTCTTTTGCCCCACTCTGTATAAAGCCAATAAATATTTGCTGAATAACTGGTCACAAAATAGGTAAAATGACCCCCCCTCCACATCTCCCCCCCCACACACACACAGTTCACACAGGTGAGTGGCAAGTCTGGCAGTAAAACACACACTAGTGTGTCCACAGTACTTCTGAATGACAGGAGCACTGGGCAATGTCTCTTTCACTGCTGGCTACTATTATCTGAATGTGCTACAATGAACATAGAGCTCCCACCCCAAACAGACACGTGCTTTTTTCGTAGGTGAATCCATGGAATAGGATGGGTTTGGGGGATGGGTAGGTCTTACACTTATTTTAAAGAGTTCTGAATACGTGGCTTGTTTATAACTAATACGTAAATGTGATTATGTATTTCACACTGATCATGAAATGAGCGGACAGACAGCAGGAAGATTTATTCAGAATCTATAAACACTATTATCACAACACGCCCCTCACTACATCTTGCCCCTTCACTCACCCTCTCTCCCATGCCCAGCTTCCATGGACACTTTGGCCTGCGGTAGTCTATTTACAGAATGATTAAAAGCATAAATTTTATATTCATAACTGTCCCAGTAATTATCCTGATTAAGACTTTAACATATTCTTTGTAAGAGGTTAAAAATTCAGTTTAAGAAATTTATGTTCCAGAAAATGACATTTCCTCAAACAGAAATGTCCAATTATGATATGATACATTCCAAGTAACATAAAAAAGAACTTACCCACAAACTCCCAGTATTTTTTATATTCTGCAGGAAATTTTCGTAACTGCAACTCATAGAATTTTCCTTTACTGGGAGAGTTGATCCATTCCTGTGCTACCTGTACAAAGCAAAAAAAAAAAAAAATTAAGAAAGCAAGAACATTCTGGAAAGCCAATTCTCAAACAGAAAAAATTCCCAAAGGAAGCCACAGTAAAATCCAGAACCCAGAATCCCAGGTGACAGAAACACTGAAAGTTAATTGGCGACTTCCAGGTTTCTGTTTGGCATGTAAGGATCTTAGAAGTCGCCACTCCATCCTAACAAGTAAAAAGTTGAACAAAGTGAAAAAATCAACAACTCCTCTTATATTCCAGAGAAGTGACGCTGCTGCCCCCAGAACCGGGAGACAGACAGGTGGATACAGATAAGCACAACTCACAGAGCAGAACCCTTACACAGAAACCTGCGTCAGGCAGAAAAACCCGAACTTGGACAAATTGTTGAAGGCTCAGTATGGACAACTCTAACGTTAAAAATTCTAGGGGCCCACATGTGGTGAGTTTTATCTCTGAGAGCTCTATCAGATCCTCACAGTGAAGACTGGAGAAAACCCCTTTGCTTCCAGCAGGGGGAGAGGAAGAGGAAACACTTTGAAACACACCACAGCACTCAGATCTTCTTAACAAGGCCTTCTCTGTGGGGAAACACTTTACCAGAGCCTAACCCGCTGGGGTTTTATCAGAACCTCATGTACTTGAGGGAAGAGAAGTAACCGAGTCCAAGTCCAGCCCACTCTAGCCTTCTTGTCCCAACTAAAGAGGTGAGGGACAAACGTGCGTAATGCGCTCAGTCTGGACTACACGACACTTCCACCTCCCCGACAACTCCCCACATCACTGAAGGACTATTTACTGCTGCTCCTTTTACCCAGTATATCATGTCCACCTTTCAACAAAAACTACAAGGCATCCTCAAAGGCAAAAAACACAGTATGACCCTGGCCAATGTGGCTCAGTTGGTTGGGTGCTGTCCCATGCCCGTTCGATTCCGGACAGGACACATGCCTGGGTTACGGGCTCAATCTCCAGCAGGGGGATTGCAGGAGGCAGCTAATCAATTTTCACTCTCATATCAATGTTCTTTCTCTCTCTCTCCCCCCTCTCTCCCTATCTCTCTAAAAAAAAAAAAAAAAAAT